AAAAAAAATATGAAGATATTATTAAAGATGATATAGTTGAACTAAAGCGGGATCTTGAATTATTTAAAAATATATTGGATAGTGTTGTTATTCCAAGTTATGTTAGTCAAAGAGGCCGAATCCTAGGCCATCTGATGAATCCGAGTCATCTTTAATATCTTTTTCACGCCCTAGCTCTTTACCAAAATCTTTGATAAGTTTATTTAAAAGAGGCGCTATTGTTTTTTCGAATTCAGAAAACACAATCGGGTCTATAAGCTTCCAAAGATCTACCTTTAAAAGAGACTCGTCTTTTCTGTTATCAAATAAAAATTTGGCAATATTTTCTTTTACAGCAGAATCATGTTTATAAGAAATAGGATAATGCTTCTTCAGCCACTTATGGATATTATCAATATGAGATTCTTTATATATTTCTGAAATTAACAACGCAATTAATTCAGTTCTATTAGCCATTATATATCTAGAGAAATATAATCATAAAACAAATCCACCAAAGTAGTAATAGTAACGCTTCTGGGGCAAAAAAATTGAGACTTGAAATTTCGGTCGGTGCAGGTGGCTAGCTGTTTTGATTTTAAAAAAGTGAGCCAGTTTCGGCCTATTACCACTACTATCCGAGCTCTGATTTCATTTATTTGGTTATTGTGGGCATAGGAAGCCCAAGGTTATTGTGGGCATAGGAAGCCCAATCACACATAGCCCAATCGAAGCATAATTTTCAAATTATAACAATGAATAACTAAAAAGATCTCGGCAAGCTGACTTTTGATTAAAGAGCATTCCTTTGCCGGAACGTCTAATGTTCACAACAGTTCAGTGTCATGTTCTTTAAGCCAATAGAAAGATGCGGCCTGCAGGAAGCCTGTTAACGAAACAAAATGGTGGACTCGATAACTCTGCTTTGATTGTGTGATAGCTTAACGTCTTGTCCAAGTTGATAAAAACATGAAGATGGTGATCGCAGCCATATGTGGAGCTTCAAACTTTTCGTCGAGTATTCCCCATGTTCAGTTACTTGTAACGGTCTTCTTCGTTCTTAGTAGTATTAAATCACGTTTGTGCTCTGTGAGTCGAGTTTCTCCAAGTTTCCCCTATGTAGGTAGAGTTGCAGTCAGTGCTAGCTAATTTGTCTATTAGTTGGTTTGCTGTATATTGTTGTATGCAGTCGTTGGTTCTCGTGAGAGACTAGTAAGCAGTCTGGAAAATTCCTCACGCAGTCTCGTTGGTAAGCTTAACGTGACTGTTCTGTTTATGCTAGTGATGTGTCGTCTTCATAGCTTTATACCTTCACGAAAAAAAACAACAAAGCGAATTTATGTTGAAAAAAAAAAAAAACGATTTTAATCATTTGAAGCCAATTAAACATGTTGTAACAAGTTATGTAATAAGACTCTAAGTTAGAGCTCCATTATTTGATCACAGTTGGAAAGATGTTTTGTTTTATTGTTTCAGAATCAACGTAACAAAGGTCTGCATACACATACAATGCACACGTAACGCACAGTTAGTTTTGAGACAGTTTTATTCTACAGCACATAGACTACTCGGTCTGATGCATATCTCGTGATATGTTAATGTAAGCGCGGATTTTGGTCTAGAGTCGAGAGTCCCAGGTCTTGGGAAACATAAGCCCGACAGGACTAAGGTCAGAATAGGAGAAAAGACTCTCTTCATGCTTTCACTTTTATTGTGGTAGGGTTTTCAGAACTAAGTGGAAGTGAACAAAAGAATTGACTGTGTTATTGGATTTCAGTCAGTGAAAATATATTTTAAGAATGCCAAGAGAAGTCATGTTGCGTAAGTAACATTGCTTACTTTAGAAGAAGGTACAGGCTTCAGTACTGTCATTACAGCAAGCATTTCATTCAAAACATCGCCGGTGTGTTTTACTCAAAGCTAAACCCAGCTATGTTCATGAGCTTATTATGTTACGTAACTTTGTAGCAAAACCACGCAATAGAAAACGCTAATGAATTCCTTTAAACCAAACACAGAATCAATTGAGCTACAATTTCGTGTGTGATATGACAGTGTTATAAAAGATGAAAATTCACTTTATTAAAAGAGAGTTATACTAACCAAGAACTCAGGAAAAACACACAGATGGRTTTTAAAAGATCAGTAGGAAATCTAGAAATAAATATAGAATGTCGGTGGTAACATCCAWTTCGTTAGATATCTTGACTTACAGTGCATTTCAATAAGAACGAAAGACATTAAAATCTTATTTCATTTGATATTACATTATTTTGATTGGTCCTAGACTTGATGCGAAAGCGTTGTCTAGTATTAAATTGTAAATGTAAATATTTGATATGGTTCTTTAGGTTAAAAGAAGCCTTTGAACGCTCACTATGCAAAGCAGTGACACGTTGCCATTGGACTGTAAAGCTTCATGGTTGGCCTGTGTATGTGCTTCGTTGGCAAGTTTTGTTTGTGTGGGAACATGCTACATATATGGTATCTTTTTTCCTGCAATTTTCGAAGAATTTCACGCTGGAAAAGCAAAAACTGGTGAGTATCCAGTCATCCAGGGGCGTCAAATTATGTTCCAATCACTGCAAAATTCCTACATTCATAGACTAATCAATATTAGTGATCGATGTTGGTTCCGAAAATTTTAATTTAATCGTATATTAATTGTATCGTTATTAAATTCTTAAATTCTATGAATATTG